GAGAGAGAGTGAGAGAGAGAGAGAGAAACTAAGTCTCTAGACACTGTTGAGAAGATGAGGCAGGATGCCCTCATTGTTTAAAACAAAAGGAGCTCTCTGTGCCACAGAATAAAATATCCAAGGTTCACACAAACACACACACACACACTTTCATTTGCCTCTGTCTGTGTGTGTGTGTGTTGTTAAAACATCAATATTGCAGCTTTCTGCCAAACCGCTGCTTAAATAGAAATGAAATTTAAATAAGACTGATGTGATCAGACAGCACATGACAAAAGACCGAGAAATGTGTAGGTTCTTAAAGATTTCAAGGTGTACGTGAGTAATGAGAGTTTTTGAGGGGCATCTATAGCAAGCAGGTAGCCTAGATAAACAATGTTTCAAACACACACACACACACACCTTCAGGCCAAACTCCTACTAAAACTCACTTGGGGTTGGAGCTATTCCAGTAAACAGCGTGTCTGTCAAATATGATCTTCTCCTCCGCCCACACGGACACCCAAGACAGGATGGCCAGCAACACCACCTCCATCACACACTTCTGCCCGAGCTGGCACAACATCATAGACATCTAGGGGGGAGTCTTTTATTTCTAACTGATATCAGGCTTTCACTGCGCTGCTGCTGCTCCAGAAATCCTTTCTAGATCATCAATGTCCTTCTGCGCGTCTTTTGATAAAATCGGTTCGGCGGTTAACTGGCTTGATGCTTGAAGTTCCGATAACCTCGGGGGTGTTTCAAGTCATACTGAATGTTTGAAATTCACTCTCAAACTTGGCCAATTGCGTATAAAACAGAAGAATTCACATGGTATTTACGAAAGCGTCGTCGTCGGCAGGATGCTGCTGGTGCGTCTCCTCTGCAAGGTCCGAAAGTTTTCTCCCATTACGCGCAGCCGGAGAGAGAGATGCGCTACCTGGATTAGGTCCTGTCTCTCGCTCGTTCGCTCTCTTTCTCTCCCTTTTCAGAAAAATGGTAATCAGACTCCAGAATTCATCCGAGGTTTACAATTCTGTCGGTGATATCGTAGCTCATCAGCAGACCTAAGACAACGCCAGAACCGGCCGTCATATTTGTTTACCCAGATTTCTGCTGCGCCTGGCGCACGCTTTGTTCCGCTTGTTCCACGGAGCAAATCTCTTTGCAGCCTAAAACTGCGTCCACTTGACCTTTTCTCTTATTGCAGTTCAAGAAAATGCATTCCGCACACAAAAGCGCGCTCCTTTTCACTATTTTTTGCTCAAACTAGTCACAAAATAACATTTGCAAGACGGGAGCATCCTTGTTAAACAACCGTAAGCTCTCACGGCGTGTCAACTTGGTGATCCCTCCGCTGCCACTGGCTCCAATCCAACGTAACTCCAGTTACTGCGCGTCTTTCCGTGCGTCACGCTGACCGGCGCAGGCAGGGAGCCGTCGATGATTACAGCTTTAATCCCAACACGCTCCCGTGCAACCTCCACCTATAGCGGCAACATCACTCAGAGGTACCCCGACTCGGTGTAAGTAACCCCCACCCCCTCTCTCCATCTCCCGCTCGCTTTTCTTTCTGAGCGGGCGGGGTCTGGAGCCGTGCTGTGCTGCGCTCCCTCTGGGGACTCGTGGCTGGCTGACTCACTGCGCCCTGGCCATATGCAGCCGGAGATGTATAGTGGAAAGTCTGAAGTCACTTAAACGCTTCATTCTAGGTAGTTAAATTACTTTTTATTGTGACACGAATTCGAAATCTTTGTATAAATAGTTGACATTAAGATCTCCCCCCCCAATAGGGAAATGGTAAATTATAGTTGAAGTTGACTTTGTTATTTTTCACCACAATCATCAATTTGACTAAAGACTGTTTGTTTGCATCTTATCGGGGCATGTAAATCGCCCACGAAGTTCACTGTTTGAAAGCCGCTCTCTGATGAATGGAAAGAGAAAGAGGGCGTCTGATGGATCGCTGGAACAGTGGAGTCATTTTCCATCAGTGTCCATTAGGCCCAAATGGCAAGCGGAGGCAGCACCGAGTCTAAAACCTGTGAGCCATAAACCTCCAGATAGCTGTTTGACAGAGCCCTGCCACCCCTGATGCCTCTGTCCTGCGAGAATGTGCAGACTACTCTGCGAAAAACTTATCCATCGCAGGTACTTAGTCTCCCCCCAAAGAAAGACGAAATAGTAACTACACTTGTGGTTCCCGCAAAGCGCTCCATGCGTTTTCGAACACGTGTTGATAAGACTATGTTGTGCAAAATGAGCTCCAGCGAGGATCAATCCAGTCTCAACAAGATGAGAATTGATTGCAGAAAACAGTTTTCAACAATTTCATTTGCATTCTTTAGAAGGGCATTACCACGTTAAGAAAATGAAAGGAAAGAAATACAATTTGCAGAATCACGAGCGAGTAAAAGGGTTTTCAAGAGCGACCTCTAACCAACTTTGATGTTCCTACAAAAGACAGTTTCCCCCAAATCAAACCCAAATTACTTGTTCCAAACTTCCCAAACCTAAAAGGCCCTGTTATATTAAGTCCAAGCTTTCTACTGCTCCATCCTTCACATCTCATTGTGCCTCTTGGTTGGACCCTTTATGCAAAGTGGCCTAGTTTTTCCTCTGCCCTGCTCTGCCTGCAAAGTAATGTCTATAATTTGGGCTTCAAATTCAGGCAGGGAGAGAACCCATGCACCCCCATAACCCAAATACAGCTGCATGTTGTCCGCCTCTGTGTATGAATTATTCAACATCTGTCTGAGGCGTGCATATGTAAACAGGTGGATAGTCTCCTGATGGCTTTCTTAAGAGGAAACACTATAGACCAAAGACATCCTTCACCTCAGTTTCATACTTTTCCTCAATTGTTACACTCTTAATGCGAGTCTAAAGCTCATGTAAGTGATACAGACTAAACAGTGTTGAGTTGATTCTGATATTACAGCCTCTTAGGTGAACCTAAATCTAAGAGTGTTGGTCAGAGAGTCAGCATAAGGGTTCATGCCTCCTTAATGTGGTGTTAAATCCTAGAATATATTGCTGGTTAAGCTTGTGATTGCACTGCAGTTTAACTCTACTCAAGAGAAATAAATTATAGACATGAGTAAGCTCCAAGATTCGAAAATCCAATGTGTTTTCAAATGGTTCATTCACAAACCAGCCATTCAAATTCAGCGTTTTCCTGACTTAAATGGCTGCTTTAGGGATTGAAAATGTCAGAAATTGTATACAGAACAGCTCCTTGAACCACTTGTCCACCCTGCCCCCATTCATTAAGCATGAGGTTTTCATTTGTGTGTGGCCTTTATGTTTGCCAGGGCGTGCTTGATTAGAGACCGCAGTACTAATGTAAATAAATGTTGCCAGATGTGGTTGAATTACTACGCCACATGGTTTCATTTAGTCCCATGCACATGGGCACTGGCGGGATCAAGCAAGGGACACCCCAAGGGTCTGTATTTGGGAAACAAATGGGAGGGCAGGTGGGGTATGATTACACAAATTGTACACTTATGTTTAAAGTGCACATGCAGTGCACTTTCTGTGTGCTTTAGACAGTGCAAAGGAGTTGAGCAGTAAAAAAAAAAAATAAAAAAATAAAGGCCTTCTTTGGTGTCGAGTAACTTGTGAATCAGAGCAATCTTGGAACAAAAATGTTCTGCATGAAAGTTTAAAATTAGATCAAAGCACCATATTCTGTGAGCTAAGAACATTACGTATCTACATTTGGATCATCTTACTTTGAGTTACCCTTCCACCCAAGTATGTAATGTCTTTGTGTTTCTGTATATTCCAAAGAGGTTTCTGTGCACACAGGTCTCTGCTTCAAATTAGTCTTAGTAGAGAGTGAAATGGAAAGATGCTGCAAGCAAACTAAAGTCTCTGAGGCAGCATCAAAAACATAGGTGAACATTAAACGTGAGATTTGTTGCAATTTTTAATGACTTGAAACATGAAAATGCACGTTTGGGCTAACACCACCTTAGTTCAGCATGCCAAAATATCATGCAGATTTTTCCCATTTTGGCTGTGCTCATCAAATATTCCGACTGACATCTTTCTTCAATATGACCTTCAAGGCATGCTTTTCTGCACAATGTAATGGCACGGGAAAAACGAGCGTGAAATTCAAACCAAGCCAGAGCTCGCTATATTTACGATTGCACTCGATGAGCTGCTGGCTCTATACAACAAAATCCAGGTCTCAGCCACAAATACACACCACTGGGCTCAGTTCTATTCTCATTTGTCCCCCCCCAAAGGCAAGGAAGAGCTGAGGTTAATCCTCTCCACTGCTCTGTAAGGAAGTAGTAGAAGAAAAAGGAGGATAGCGAGACAAGGAGGGGGAAAAAAAAAAGGATATAATGCCAGAAAGCCATGGGAAGCACTTGAGATTAAGCCACTAACTATTGACATTGTGTGAGTGGCAGGTAAAGTCACCTCTGTTCAGAAACCTTTGATCACCACCAGAGAACAATACCTCCCCCTAGTGGCCAAAAAGGTGTACACCTAAAATTACTCACAGGGGTTTGGGGTTCACCTCTCCTCACATCCCAGGGCACCTCTGATAAAACATGGATGCCAGATATACTGGGCAGCTATACTCCAGTTTTTTCTTAATCATTAACTTTATGAGATACAGTACCTTGGTTTCCACAGCAACACCCCTCCTTCCCGAGTTACACCCGCTAAACTTCAAAAGGTCAAACGAGAGCACAGGAGGATTACTCTGAATCAGTGAGAATAGTGAGTATCCAGCACTGCATCCCCAATTAACTCACCACAGTTTCATCAAGGAATTGTAACAGGATTGCGCTGAGTCCAGATGAGCAGTCAGTCAAGTTTAGATGGGATGAGTATGAAGCTAGAAACGCAGTAAAGGACAAAATACAACCCACCAGCAGTAAACAGGATGAGAAATGTTGAAAATGTTACAAGATGTTAACCGGTACAGAAGGAAAGTGAGGAAGAGACAGAAACCAAATGAGGCCAGATGAAAGAAAGAACAAACTAAAGATTTATTGAAGGCAGCAGAAGATGCAAGAGACAAGATCAGAATGGCAAGGGGGAGTGGGGCACATACAGAGACACTTCTGTGTTCATATAGGTTTAATGTCTTTGTGTTACAAAAGTTTTTTTTTTTTCTGTTTTACAGCTCAGGAGAGCTTAATAGGTCTGTGCTGTTTTATCAAAATATACATGTTTTGAACGTATGTGGATATACTCCAAATGATTTTGTGGTACAAAAACATGAATATATACAACCATCAACCCCCTTCATACAATACCCCCACCCCCAGCCCCCATATAAAAAAGAAAAGAGAAAAGTAAAAGCTTTTAACAAAATTGAAAGGCATACAATTTTTCTACACAACATCACAGCTAGGACTGCGGTTCAATTAAGTATTCATTCTAAGCAATCTCTACCAAAGTAGGCTCTTTGTAAAGTCAATCAAACAAAAGCGGTACAATATACAGTATATGTTGTTAATCAAAAGACAATTTAAATTAATGTGACTTTTTCCAAAGCATTGAGGAATAGAACTTGGAACTGCCTCGTATTTGTTGTAACGTGGGGGTGAAAGACGAGACAAAAAAAAAAAAAAAAACTCCTAAGAAATCAGAACACTACAAAACAGCAGGGGTAGAACATACTTTGGTCCTTAACAGCAATAACCGTCTGCAGCTACATGAAGCTTTGTTAAATCATGCATAAGAATCTTACAAAAATAGAGAGAGCACATCTGTATCTGGTCCAAGACAACAGTGGTCAAGGCTGTGGAAACTGGTGCTTGAGGCACACAGGAATGTGACAACGTGTAAGACTTCAGCGTGGTGGATCTATTGTTGAGAAAAAAGTGCACTAAACGCACCTGACTGTGGCATAAGTGTACACCGACAGGGTACTGGGTGAGGACTCTCTCACCCTGCAATTCTAGTATCATAAATTTAAGGGGGGAAAAAAAAGATATACTGGGATTTCAAACACCATTCAAGACTGTTATTACCATCAATTGACAAGTGAGTCAGAGCTGCCCTCTCACAGGTACGATTACCTGAATATAATGGGATAAAGGCATCTTTGTAGACAGGCTAAGATACAAACACCTGAATGAGAGGTAAACAAAATCAACTAATCGTGCCCGTTTCAGCCTTAAATTAAAAACTTAAGGAGTCAAGGCACTGAGATAGCAATCAAACCCAGCTACTACAAATAGCTATCAGTTAAGCTTAGAAGTGATACAAGTAAATTTTAACATTTAAAAGAGATAAATGAATATATAGGTGTCCACATATATTTATATATATATATGAACGTAATGTGGTTAAATGAGGCTCCAAACAACTGTCCTGAGGACTAAGTGATAGGAGACTGTAAGACAAAAAGGCTGAATACAGCTCTACACCTGCAACAATACACCTAACAGAGCTACATCACCTAGCAAGGATATTAAGCATCTAACTGACTTACATTCATAGTTTCTAGATACATATAATGGGGCTATATGCATACAGAGATAAACATTTGTTTTTTTTTAAACAAGAAACAGAAGATTAAATGAGCCACTTTTCCCCATTTTAACAATGCTGGTACAAACCAAAGGACAAAAAAATAAAATAAAAATTGAGAGCCATATATTACCAAATTAAGCCAGAGCAAATCTGTCTGGAACAAATTCAAAGTAAGGCACAAGACTGTAGAGAGAAAGACAGCGAAAGAATGCATTCAACCAGACCTCTTTCATAGCAGTGATGTTGTTATGAAATAGGAGGGTGTTGTTAATCACATTAACTGTGGCTCTGCACTTAAACCTTCATTAATATCATTAGTAACACTTGTGTTTACTTCCATTTCACATAAAACAGCTGCTGTGAAACAGGACTATTGAATAACCTTTGATAGTGGTATGGATCCCCAGAAGTAAATAGGTGGAAAGTCACACAGTAAAATAAAAATGGATGCTGGGAAATAAGTTTTATGGTCTCCGAGTCAAAACTTAATCCTTTGTCTCAAACCGTTTCTCACTGGCCAAACAGGTTCTAAGTGGCATTTCAAAAAGGCAAACACACACACACACACACACACACGTATCTCAACACAACTACTGTAATAAAAAGGAATGCTGAAGTGTGTCTGGTGCGGATACAATTCATCCACATAAGCATACATCTGTGGCGGAGGGTGTTTAAGTGATTTGGTCTTAAAAGGACAGTTCAACAGCTGCCTCTACTTTACCTCCAATTTAAAAAGAAAAAGAAAATACAAACATGTTTCATTGTAGAATGTTGCCTCTTTCCCAGGACCCCATATGCAAACTTATGGTGGGGGGAAAAATTATTAAATGTTAGACTGGATTTGATCCCGACCTCCTAATAAAGCTTTTATCAAGTTTTAGATGAATTGTTTCATTTGCAAGAATGCACGAGTTTCCATTGTTACAAGAGTTAGCAAGTGTAACAAAGCTTAAAGGACAACGCGATAAGCCCCTTTCAGACATGCAATCCCTTCCAATAATCTGACAGCATCCAAAGGTGTCGGGTTTGTGCTAAATGAACACCCTAGCCACTTAACCCACAAAAGCTGTGACAGCACTCTTACTAGGTTGGACCTTATGTAAGACTTTCAGCACACGAGCGCGTGCAGTCACAGCATTATCACTGTGCATGTCTCTAGTACATCTGTTAGATGCACAGCTCACTAGAGAATGCCTTAAACAGCAATAATGTAGATAGTAACATTTTGCATATTTGAAACATCTATGAGAGATCTCTGAGTGTCTGTGGGAGGAGCGGTGTGCAGTCCTATGATCAGCATTGTGCAACAAACACACCCTGCTCTTAGTGACAATGGCAGAAAGAATATTCCAAAGTGCGGTTACACCTCACTGGCATTGCTATTGACAGTACTTGTTCACACAAGTCTTTTGCAGGTATTGTGGCTCTCTCCGTCATTGTTGTGGATTTGTGAGAATGAACGCTACAGTTTAAGCAAGGAGTCTCTAAATGACAGAATGCTGTCAGATAAACAGATAAATTAAACGGGCAATGTTTAGTAACTCATGAAAGGATGCCAGTGTACAAATTCAGGAGCTTTTCTTTTAAGGATAACACAGAAGAATAGGTGTTTTTTTAATAATAGGCATTCTGAGTTGTCACAGTGGGGAAGCAAAGGTATAATAATGATTACTGTGAAACAGCTTGTATTAAAAATAGGACCTATCCAAGTGGAGACCTCATTAATACATCCCTGCTTTCCCCACTTTGAAAAGTCAATAGCTCTACGGAAGTCATCTACCAGTTTATGTCAGTCATTTTTCTACACTTTAATTTAAAAAGCTTTGACATCAACTTAAGACTTTACAACATCAACCAACAAAAAAATTAAGTTGTCCCCCCCCCCCCATTTTCTTAAGCTTAGAAGAGAATCACAATGAATAAACAATGTTGAACCTATTAATGACGGTGAATGATTTGTTGTGAAAGGAGCAACATTCATCAAAGAAACAGCTATAAATAGGTAATGGTGGCCATTTCCACTGAATGCAACCTCAAGAGTGGTAGCATTCAGATGGCAACAGACTTGGAGGATGAAAGGAAAGGCACTCAGATGGTGGACTTGGAGAAGGACACTCGAAGATGGTGGTTTTCCCCCAGATCATGGTTGTGGAACTCGATGAGGGACTCTATTGCCTCCTCGACTGAGCCCATCTGAATCAGAGCCATCTTGCGATCTTTTCTGTTAAAGTAAAATAAAAAAATAAAAAATTTGAACAATTTGTTCTCAAAGTGTAAGATCCAGCCCACTTGTGTGTGGGTTTTTCACCATTTGCTTTGTTGTACTCTCAAAACTAGGTTTAGTTCATGTGTCTATCAGACTAAAAAGGCCAACACTTTACAACCTTAATTTAAAGCAGGCAATTTAACCAAGAGCTGCTGTAGAGTGTTCTGAAGAAAGAAGAACTCAGCCGCAAAAAACAAACAATTTGAGAAAATTGGGTTTAAATGGACTAAAACTTACTGAAAGAACTTGAAGGCCTTGACTGTTGCTCCTGAGCTGGCAAATAGCCTCCTGAGATCATCCTCCACCACAGAAGGCCTGAAAGCAAAACAGCAGAGAAGTTAAAAAGCTTTGTAGGTTTATGTTTGTTTACTAAGCTGCAGGTTTCTGTGTCTGAAGTTGTAAAACAACAAGGCATGATTAAATATAAAAACCACCCCCTCCTCCACATACTGAGAAATAATGTCACGAACACCTGAAGGAAAAAGCTTACTGTGCAAAAGGTTGCTGGGTTAGAGCAGAAATGACGCCAAGGTTAACACTCACGGTATGTTGGAGAGGTGGAGTGTTGCAGAGGGTGGAAAAATGTTGGAGTAGTTTTTGGAGCCAGGCTTCTTAAAACGGTGCAGTGGAGAGTTGCTGAAATCCTTTGTGAGGCCCTGGTCCTCGTGGCCTTCTCTGGGAAGCTGCACTGTTGTGTGTTTTGACAACGTCACACGCATGGCCCTGCCATGAAGACGCTGGCCATTCAGGTGGCTCATAGCTGAAAAACATAAGTCACATAAACATGGTTTCAACACACTATTTTCAAGTTGTCTATCAAATTTGTTAGCACATTCTCCATCACTTAATTTAACTCTAAACAGCCACAACAATAAGCAGAAAATCAGCCATCTATCACAGGAGGAGCTGAATTACCCTTCTAAGAAAAGGCTCCAAACAATGCACAGTATAATAATGTGAGGAGGAAAAAAAGAAAAAAAAAAAAGATGAAAGTGGTAGATCAAAGACAGAAAATTGTGTTTTGTAGGGCTGCAGCGTCGCTACCTAGTTGAGCCTGTGTGCCATCAGACATCTGGATTAGAG